AAATTAATTTTTTGTTTATTTTTCTTTTAATAAATCATTATCACTAATCCATATCATTTCTATTTAAAAAAGGGTCAATAATTATTTATTCAATTCAAATTGATTAGAAAATATTTGATTGGCCCAGAGTACTTGAGTTTGTGAATTTGATGTTTTTAGAAATAACACAAATACCTTTAAAATGTAATCAGTGTAAATTTCTAAAAGCACTTGGTAATATTCCGCACAATTGGAAGAAATATTTAATATTAATACCCTGCAAACTAACTCGTTATATGTCGAATATATAATAAAGCCAAACGGAGGCTTTTAATCAAATAACTTGGATGACTTTTGACAACCATTTCTTAACAGCGAAATCGTAGGTTAGGTTTTTGTCGACTAAATCTTACAAAGACAAAATAACCGCATTTGTAATTCAAATAATTACATTTTTAATTCCAATTTTTAATTTGATATTACAAATATTTTATTTGGAAATTCCTTTAATTATTTTGAATTGCAATCATTTATGATCGCTGCCCTGTCCATGACATTAAAATTCTGCTAGGAAATGTTAATGCAAAATTCGGATTGGAAAATATTTCTTTTGTCCCACCGTCGGAAATTTCAGCCTCCATGTAGGAACATTCGACTACGGCATGAGGTTGATTGACTTCGCGGCAGCAAAAAACATGGTAGTTAGCAGCACCAGATTCAAGCATATCGATATAAACAAGGCCACCTGGATTTCTCCCGATCAAACAACGAGAAATCAAATCGACAATATTGTGCTAGACGGAAGTGTTTAAGAAGTTCGATCGATCTGAGAAGCGTTGTGTTAACGTTGCAGCAAAGGTGCGATCTAGCACAACACGAGAACTCGACGTCGAAAAGCTTCAAAAAGAACCCTACTCCGCTTAACTTACACACCTATTTGACGGAAGCACTCCTTATCCCGATAAGCACAATGGCAAATAATTGTCCCTGCAAACTGCAGCAAAAGCAAGGAGGAATACATGCCTAATGATTGAAACCTCAGCATTCTGTATCTTGTGCACAAAAAAGGGGATAAGGCAATGTGAGCCAACTACAGAGGAATAAATCTCCTTCCCATCGCATATAAAATGCTATCCAGCGTACTGTGTGAACGACTGAAGTCAATGATCAATGATATTATTGAACCATACCAAAACTGCTTCAGACCTGGCAATTCCACCATAGACCAGATTTTCACTCTGCGCCAAATCCTGGAAAAGAAACACGAAAAGCACATGGACACATTCCACCTAAAGCCGCATTCGACAGCCCTATCCGTTCAGGGGTGTTTAAAGCCAGGGTCAGCAGTTAAAATTGGAAATTACTTTTCTACCCCTCTACGGACCGATCTCTTAAAATCCTGCTGGAAAAGGCCATACGAGATGCAAATGTGAACAAAATCTCTATACACCAGCATATTTAACTCGCCTAGGCCGACGACATCGACATAATGGGTGTAACATTGCGAGCGATAACAGCTACCTTTGAACGAATGGAGAAGGAGTCTGCCAAAGTGGAGAAGCAGAAAATGGCGAGGAGACCAAGCTAATGGTATCAATTCGTAAGACGTCCAGTAGATTCGAATCAACTGTGGAAATTGAAAACTACAGCTTCGAGGTAGTCAAAGATTTTATATACCTCGGTACCGCCATAAATAAAACTACTGACATAAGTTTTGAAATTCGGTGAAGTATTTTGTTGGTCAACAGACGCTACTATGGCCTTTGAACATTGCAGTTTAGAAACAAGGCCACCCCTCTCCAGACCAAACTCTCACTCTACCAGACGCTAATACCAGTACTGGTGTATGGATTAAAATAATGGGTACTTGAGATGAGGCAACTCATGGAGTTTTTGAGAGAAAAATTCTCTGAAAGATCTACGGACCGATCTGCATCGACGGTGAACAACGGCATCGAATGAACCACGAACTTTGCCATCTCTACACGGACATGGTCAGTCCTATCGATCTGAAATCTATTCACGGTCATGGTCGGTCGTATCGAACTGCAGCGACTATGGTGGCAACGTTGCATGGATGGATGAGGATGCCCCAGCTCAAAAGGCATATAAAAGCGAGCCTACATATGGTTCACGCAGAATGGGGAAGGCCACGAATTCGATGTAAAGATTAAGCGGAGGATGACATATCAAAGAATTGTCTTTCAAACTGGTAAAATTGGGCACAAGATCGACGCGCCTGAAAAACTTTTTAAGGTCAAGAAGAAGTTAACCCTCTGGTAAAAAATTTTGGTAGGGAAATTAGAAAACCGAAAATGTTTTTTTTTTCTTTTAAGAAGTATTTTTAATATTGGCTTCATTGCAGACATTCTAATGGATTTTTTTATTTTTCTTATTAAGGGAATATAAAATTTACCTTATTTTTGTCTATGGTATTTTAATTGAAATTGTACATATTTTTTTATAATGTCAGCATGTTCTAAGAATTTCAACAGTATTCAATTTCCCATTCCTGCTACTAATTTTATGTTTATTAAATTTCAGATTAAGTTTCTATTCGCATAAAAAAGTGTTTATTAAGACGCAGTTTCTTAATACTGCCCCATTAATGATTACAATGAACTTTTTGATCTTTACTCAGTGTAATTATATACAACATGCAGCAGATTATTATTATTATTAAAATACAACAACAAAAAACATCAAGAAATAAAAACTATAAAAAATAACTTATTGCATTGTGGTGTGATTATATTTCCATTAGCAAATGGTCAAGTATCGAGTTATTTAAAAAAAAAAAAAATAGGTAAATCGTTTTGAGTAATTTGAACTGTAGTTTTATGCTTAAATTAATACCACATGAAATATGAACTCACAAATAATTATTTACTATTTCAAGCAATAAAACTATATAGGTATAGGTACAAATGTGAATTCTGCGAAAATCAAGTTATAACAGAAGAAAACTTTTTTATAATCCTATTTCTGAAATGAATGAAATTTATTTTTTTAATATTCACTAAATTTTGTTGTATTTTCAATTTCATATAATTTTGGCTCATAAGGAATGTTAGAAATCGAAAGGGTATTTTATTATTGGTCCCTGTCCTCTTGGTCAGATATGCACGTGACAAAAATTCGCATGAAAACGATAGTTTTTTTTTTCAATTAACAAAATCAAACTCTCAGAATATTCTATTGTGTACAGAAATTTTCCTTTTTCTTATTGTAAACATTACTAATAAAATTTCAAATTCACTTTAATTCATTGTTTATTTATGCAATTTAATTTTTTGTGGCGTTTTTGCCCACAGTCTAGGTCATTTCAATAAATAGTCAAATCAAAGTTTGAAATCGTTCAGCTAGCCGCCAGCCAATTGTTTGTTGATCAGCAATAGATTGTTTATATTGAGAAATAGAGCACAACACAAAACTCAATAACAGAGAATATAGAACAGAATTCTATTATGGGAATTAATTAACACATTGTACCTAATTTTCATGTGTCCCACATATTTGGAAGAAATTTCCGCATACTTTTGTGGTCCAGTGTATGAAGGGTAAACTAAATAAACAAACAACCAAACACACAAAAGATGGGAACGAAAGTTCTCTTTCTTTTGTTGCTCTTTGTCTCAATCGCTCTGGCGATTATATAGATGGGCATGTTTCCTTAAATAAAATCAAACCTTTAATAAAAACTAAAAAACTACAAGAACAACAAAAGAAACCTAACATATGCGACGGGATTTTATGGCTTGGTCGGTATTTTTGTGTGTATGAGTCGGCGTTTCAGCTCGTATGATTTTTGAGAATTCTGTTTTACACAGACAGCAAAAGACAACAACAAGAATTTTGACTTAAAACCCCCCAAAAAACAGGCAAGCATAAACCACAACAACATACTCTGGCCCAACACGATACCGAAACAGTAGATGCAAAAGTCCAGAAGGCAGTTTTGCCATTGAAAGCAAAAAAAAAAACGAAGCTTCAATAATTTATTTTTTTAAGTTCAATAAACCTCTAAATCATAATGGAAAACCAATAACAGAAACATTGATGTAAATGTATACAATCAATTGAAACTGTCCAGGCAATTGTCTTTGGAATATGGAAGAAAATCAAATTCGGTATAATTTTGAATTTCAAATGATGGATTCAAGCTATTTCCAATCATATACAGACAGAGACAATTTTTTTACAAGTTTGGGTTGGACAAATTTCTTACCGAAATTCTATCTACTTCAGTATTTTGGAATTACTTTGAATAATATTAATATTTATAATATGGAATCATTGGAGCTGGGATTGTTTTGTATAGCAAACATATGAACGAACTCTTTTTAGACGACGGCAATTTGGTTCGCGAAAACTACACATAGATAATTTTAGAATGCCATCTTGAAAACTGTCTCCTCATGACACCTATCGTACTTTCGAAATCCTTAATTTCCGTACAAATATTGGGAATTTTGTGCATCATTCACATAAAATCGGACGAAACTATATATGGGAGCTATATCTAAATCTGAACCGAGTTTTCCCAATAGGGTTCGTCCTTGGGCCAAATAAATGAGCTGTGCCAAATTTCATTCAATTCGGATGATAAATGCGACCTGTACTTTGTTTACAATTTAACATGGACATATGGACAGCCGGACGGACATGCATAAATCGACTCAGAAAGTGATTCTATGCATATTGTCAAAAGGAACCATGTGTCTATCTCGCTCCTAACATAGCTTCCTCATAACAACAGAGCAAAAGCCATCTATCGACATTTGTCGACGTATGAGTTGTCTTATCTTTATGTTTATATGGCTTTGTAAATATTTCGATGAGGGTTCCGATACAATATTTTCACAAAAAGAAATGTTTATTAATTTTAATCGGCAATCCGTTAAATTGAAATTAAATAAAACATATATTTAAATTTAATTTTGTTCCCTGTTAAATTCACCACCATGTTGCCCCTGTAGCGAAATAACACTTTGGCCCACAAACTTAATTTTCAAACTCACCTTCGGCACATAACAGTATAAGAATTTAAAATCCTTATCCACAATCATATGATCCATTTGTTCGTCGGTTAAATCATTTAAATCCTGTTGACTATAACCCAATGTATCACATTGTCTTTGCAAATATTCCTGACGTTGCATATTTATCGTTTGGGTCAATTCCAAACTACGTTTGGTAATTTTCACCTTATTATTATTGACATCTTCGAAGGCGCCACGTATCAGATCAATTTGTAGCGTGAATAAAAATACAATAACAACTATGGAAACGAAGAGGGATTTACGATTAAAGAATTTCCTGCGATTAATGGAAAATGATGATGGCGATGATTCCGCTTCGGATGTGGAGAAATTTGATATTAAATTATCTTCAACACAATCCAAATGTTGATTCGCAGAATCATCTGTAGTAGAGGCGGGGGCAACAGTTGTTGGAGTAGTCTTCATCATCTTCTTGGTTTCACACAGAACGGAATGCTGTTGTAGCAACAACTTTTGACAATCGGGTTGTTGTTGTTGTTGGATTTGATGCGGGTTGATGCTGATGTTGTACAATGAAGCAGGAGCGGATACTTTGACACTGAATATTTTCTTTTCTTGACTCTGGCCTTGATTGCAATTAATTGGCACATGGAATGTTTCTTGGACTTTGATTGTTGTTGTGGTTGCTTTTCTTTTAAAATCATTTGGTGTTATTTTCAAAATTTGTTAAATTTAATACTTTATTTAAATTAATTTCTTTTCTTTTATTTGCTTATTATAATGCAGTAATATCAACAACACTTTCTTTCCTTCTTTCAACTCAATTTCAAAAACAAACACTTATTGGCTGACCCAATAACCAACCATGTGGTGGCCAGCTTTTTATTGCCGCTTTTTGCCCAAATATTTTTCACGTTTGGTAAACTTTAGAGTCTGTGCATTCTCGATGCCACATTCACTTAACAATTTGCGACCGTTTTCATCATTTATCAGCGATTTGGTGGCGGGATCGAATAGAGCGTATGTTCGCCATAGGTAACGCCAGCTAACGCACGGCCTATGTTGATGACCGTTGTGTGCCGCAGAACAAACTAATTCACCAGTTCGCCGAATGGACTGTTTGGACTTCAACAACGTTGCTGTTGCTGCCATTGTCTCACAGGTTGTTGTTTTTCTTGTAATGCTATTGTCTTGCTCTTGGCATTTCTCTTTGGCGGTGTTATCGTTATTGCTCTCTAGCTGGCTGTTAGTAGTAGTCGTTGTTGTTTTGTTTCCACTTGCCCACCACGCCAACAGAGTGCCATCCATATTGGTAGTGGCTTGTTGGATCACATTTTGTGTTCTCCGGCGTAGACGCTCTTCTTGACGTTCTCTTAACTCTCTTTTTTGTTGAATGTTTGCTTGTGCGGCAATGGCTTTCTTTAACTGTGCAATAGTGGGTTGATCTTGTGGCAAACCAATAATATAATTTTGGAAAACTCTTTAGTTCAACATGGTAGAATGGCGGGGATGTTCAGTGGAGAAGGCAATATTTAAGATTGAGTTCGGAAATGGATTGGAAAGTGTAATAAATGGTGTGGTATATTATTAGAGTATTCCAAAACTACAATAGTATGGAGGGTATATTAATTTTGTCATTCCGTCCTGATCAGGGTAAATTCTAAGACGATCTAGCCATGTCCGTCCGTCTGTTGTAGTCCGCTATGTAATGAAAGTGAGATAGGGTGCTGAAATTTTGCATAATGTTGTATTTTGTCTGCAGGCAGGTCAAGTTCGAAGATGGGCTATATCGGACTAGGTTAAGGGCTATATCGGACTAGCCCCCATATAATTGGCAAATTGTATATTTATTATGTAGCTATGTTGGTCTAGGTTTAGACATAGCTTCATAAAAGGGTACTCTTTTGTGGATCTTGCGTGCGTTTTTCAATCGAAGTTGTTTAAATATGGTACATTGTATTTTTATTATGTAGTGGAGAGAAAACTAAAAATTATTAATGGTACGGTCATTTTTCTGTATTTTTGGGTGAGTTTTTAAACTGAATTTGCTGTACGCAAAGTACTAAATCTTTGCGTTTTTATTCGGTACCCAATTTACCCACTAAAAATTATAAATATTGATCCACTTTTTCTTTCAGTTCAAATTTCGGGTTCTTGAGCGAGCTTTTCAATCGAATTTGCTGGCACTTTCCTATTGGGTACCAAATCTTTCCAGTAAAAATAATACTGATGGAAACACTTTTTCCGGTAGCCCCTCATAATTTCAATATTTTTATAGTTTTGAACCCGAATTTCAATCTAATTCGCTGTAATTTGATATTTTGTAATTATATTTGTTATATTCGCCCCCTTTTGGAGATAGTCCCCACATAACCCCTTTCTATAGTAAACAATTTTTGGGGTTGTCTGCCTATAGGCTGGTGGAACACGCCTATAGGCAGTATGCGGGATATACAAAGTATGGAATTCTAGACGATATAGCCATATGTTGTAATCATTCTACCAACGAACAATATCCAGATAAAAAACTAGAATTTTATACATATGTTCCACACTGACATGCGTTGCCAATATCGGCCTACGTTTTGGGATTATGAGATTTTAGGAAACATCTCCATTGCTGAAATTTGTATTTGGTGTACATTATGGTTTACAACAATCGCTTGGTATACTTGTCGGTATAGGTATAATTTTGGGTATGTTCCCTATATTTTCATTTCAATTAACTATTAGTATTGCTATGGTGGAGGGCAAGATCTATTAATAGGTTAACCCAGCTAGCGAAAGTCAGCAGTTTTCTCCCAAGTCTAATGTCAAAAATGTGGATTTTGTTTACGTTTTTATAATGGAAATAATTCACAATAATGTATTTTTACAGCAAACTTAAGAGGTCTTATTTATAGGCCTTGGTGGTGGAGGGTACCCAAAGTTCGACTTGACCTTTTTCCATTTTTTATCGCTTTATTTCTAATAAT